GCTGAAGCTGGGTTGCTGTTAAGGAACTTAAATTAAGTTACCATATTGGGGAAACCCTATTATTTACTATATACACCCACTATGGTAACTTAATTTAAGTTCCTTAACAGCAACCCAGGAAGAATCAACAAATAAAAATGTGTTGGTTGCTTCAATGAATATGGCTACTGCAGAGGCATGAGCTCGCTATTCTGATGAGTCTTGGCTTATGTTTTGTCCACTGAATATTCAAGTTCTCTACCATAGCATTGCCATCCCACAAAGCCCACGATTGCTCAAACTAGCAAGCATGCACAACACCACAACCTCTCGTCTTGGCAGTAGTGTCAGAAAAAGAAGTACTATCTGCTGGCCTTTGGCAGTACGTTGCATGGTTAAAGGAGATGGGAACATTCCACCCCCAAAAACGCAGCGGAGGGCCGGGGGTATGCTGGTGGAACCCACATCCGAAAGAGCAGGCCATTGCCTGGGAAAAGCCGGCAAGTTCCGTCCTTTTGCAACAAAAGCAAATTGTGGATAATTTTTGGGTGGACATTGCACCAGGGAATTAACCATTCGAAAAATGGCGAGGTTTTATGTTAGCATTGTGAGCATCACAAAGCTGTATGCAATTTGCCCTCTTGGCTTTGCCCTCCTCTGGCGTCAGCTCCTGAGTTCGGCCCTGCTGCCGAAGTCCAGCGCAGATGCTTTGTAGGGGTATAACTCCAAAACACGCCTGAGCTCAAAATCAAAGAGACGTCCTATGATACAGAAAACATGGAGAAAGGGACCCCAAATGATGCTGATGACCCCCAAGACGCTGCTCACACGCACCGTCTGAGGCTTCGTGGGCTGTATGAAGATTTTGTGGACAATCACTAGAAAGTTAGCTCAAAACATGAGCCAAAAACCGTTGGTATTGTGACTAGCGTTTGTGACGATCATCACAGGCAATAAAACCTTCCACGCTTCGTACCATTACTACTGCCGCTACTTTTCAGGTTACTTGCAGCAGTGGCGCTGCCACACTTTACTACTGCGGCTATGACAGCCATGAGGTCTTCCCTGAACTGTCAGACATCTGGGATGCGCACCAGCCACGACCAGACTGCCATAAGCAATCCCACGGCAAGCATCATCTTCCTCAGCATCACATGCGCTGAAGCTTGGGGAGGAGGAAATGAATTCATAGCCTCTTTGAGGGATGATAGCATCCATTCCAATAGCTTAGTCCCGTTGTCAAGGCTGTTCTAGCTGTGCCCCTGTGGCACGGGGCCGGAAACACGTATTGCGGAGGCAAAGCTCATTTTTGTATGTCCGCAAC